CATTTGCAAATAATTCTGTGCGACATTTTCACTTATACTGTGCTTAGCTTGGTGGCATTTTCACATTTTTTAATAGTTTTCACAAAATTGGAATAGTGCTCCAGTACGTAATCGCAATCGTAATCGCAAAGCCTGGGCAATTTTTTGAATTTTTAATCTAATTTTAATTTTTAAAAATATTTTATGGAAAATAAAAAAGATGTAATAATTTTTTATCCTCAAAAGCAATTGTTTTGTCGATACAAACAGAAAGTTTTTAGAAATGGTTAATATTGCAATTTAAAGAGCTTATTGTTTACGTTTCGACACTAATTAGTGCCATTATTTTTTTCTAGTTATCCAATGACAAAGAAATCCTCCGTGAACAACTATCAATAATTCTGACGGATTTAATGATGTTCATAATGTATTTATCGACATTATGTTGGTTAATTTTGGGCACAAAGGACCCTATGGCATACACTAGTTCCCAAAATATCCAAAATATTATTGTGGGTTCCAGATATCGAGATTCCATCGATTTTGAAAGTGTATTTACTGACGAAACGTGAGTAAAAAAAATAGAACGTAGAAATATTTTTGGGGTGGTCCTTAATATGGATTGTTTTTGGAATTTCCTAGCTCCCAGGGTCTCAAATGCTTCCAAATTGATACGAAAATATTCTCTGAAAGTTTTAGCTCTTAATATTAACTTTTAGATAGTTCGCATTTCAATCAAAGTTTTGTAAATTTATTAATATCAAGTAGTAAATTCTTTACCCATCTGTGATAGAATTTATAAACTCAAATCAAGAAGTAAATAAATATTTTGCTGCAAAATTAATCTTGATGCCATAAATATTTAGTTAAACAGCTCACTTAAGTGATTAATAATTTGGAATTCTGATATATCGAGTTCTTGATTTTCTTCAAAAGTTCCCATTTTTATTATGACGATTCGATTGCTGAATGTAAAATTGTGATACAACTGAAAAAAATAATAAATTATATATATATATATATATATATATATATAAAATATATATTATATATAATATATATGAGCAGAACTATTTTTAAAATAATTAAAACTTTCAACTGCATACATTAACAATAACCATTTTTTTGTTAATGTAATCTAATGAGAAATTTGTAAATATCTGGAAAGTTTGTTACAATACTCATCGATTTTAGTATTTGGTGTCATAATAGACATATTGAGAAATAACATATTAAAATTACAACATTGTGGAATAAGCAAAACTATTTAAAAAATTAATTTTCTTAGTCTCTTTATAAATAAATTACAACTTTCTTTGTAATTTGTAAAGATAACCTACTCACGTTTAATTATAAATATCAGGAAAATTTGTTAGAAGATTCATCGATTTTAGTATTTGGTGTCATAATAGACATATTGAAGAAATAACATATTGCAATTACAATATATAGGAACAAGCAAAACTATTTTTAAAAAATTAAAACTTTCTTCAGCATGCATTAAGAATAACCCTTTCTCTTTCCATCCATCTATAACTCTTTTATGAGAAGTTGTTAATGTAACATATACGTATTATTTTAAATATCCTAAAAATTTGTTAGGAGACTCATCGATTTTGGTATTTGGTGTCATAAAAGACATATTAAAGAATAACATATTAAAATCACAATATTCTAGAACAACCGAAAGTATTTTTGAAAAAATTTAAACTTTTAGTCTCTGCAATTTACAACTTTCTTTGCAGTTAATGCTACCTACTCATGTTATTGTAAATATCTGGAATATTTGTTAGAAGACTAATCAAATTAAGTATTTAGTGTCATAATAGACATATTGAATAATATCATATTAAATTTACAATATTCTAGAACAAGCAGAACTATTTTTAAAAAATTAAAACTTTCCTCGGCATACATTTAGATCACACATTTTTCTCTCACTAAATTTACTACACCATGCATTAACAATAACCTTTTCTTCTGACCTTTATTCTTTAGTAGCAATAAATAGAAAATTCGGGCCTTTTTTTTGTTTTTTGTCAAATAACTCAAAAATTTCATATGAAACTACCACTTTTCAGTTAGATGGGGTAAAAGTAGATAAAATTTACAACATTTCCTAGGGAACACTTTTATACATTGCGATATAAAAGTTTTGAATAAAACGATCTTTGAATTCGATATTTCATTCTCAAGCAGTAAATATAGAAAATTCAGGACATTTTTTGTTTTTTGTCAAATAACTCAAAAATTTCATATGGAACCACCCCTAAATTATTAATTTTCCCAAGGTTCATCGAGTACCTAAACAATTCCCTTCTGCCATCTCTGTTCTGCGAAGAATGGTACCAAGGTCACCAATTTCGTGGTTTTGGTTGGACACCAGATTATGGTTCCAAATTATTGGGAGTTCCTCGATTGAGACAACTCAGAGTCAGGAATGATTCTTGTGTGGTTCCTGAAGTTATGCAAAAATACACTAAAGGTAATAAAAACATCATTCATAACTAGTGGTGTATGGCATCGTGCCTTAAGGCAAATTCCTCGAACTTCCTTTACCGTAATCGAGAAATTTTAAACGTTTTCAAATATATTATTACAAACACTGTAACTTTCATTATTTTTGCTATCTTGTTATATCTGAGCAAATCAAATGTAAATCATAAATCAATTTATCTCCAGAACATTAACAATCGTCATTTCATTTCGAATTCAATTTCAAAAAAATATTAGTTGCCTAATTTGCACAAAATTGAAAAAGTGCTTCCGTATAGTCACAGTCTAAACGCATTCGCAAATAATTCTGTGCGACGTTTTCACTTATACTGTGCTTAGCTTGGCGGCATTTTTACATTTTTCAATAGTTTTTCTACAGGAAGTTAATAATCGAATGCTAAAAGCAACAAATTTTATAAATCATTTTGTTTGAAGTACTGGTGTATGATGTAGGTTTTTAATTGTTTTAAAGTACACCGAGTTGCTGTAGGGTCATATGATGTTAGAAAAGTTTATGCACAATTTAATTTTGTACAAATTTGTTGAATATTTTATGTATTTTGAACAAACCGTTTAAAAGTCACAAAGGGCTTAATAACACGACGCATTATGTCGTCAATTTTCATCCAACAAAGTAGTACATCAAAAAGTAGTAAAAAAATTAGTCTTCGTAGCTATCATAAAAGAGATGCATGTAAACTTTCTCTAAATTTTCAATAAAGAAATATTGTTTTCACAATTTCACTTATCGTGTAATTGTGTTTGTAGAACTTCATGTAATTGAAATTAACATACGTTTATTGACTGCTTGTTTGTTTTGACTATTTCGCTGGCGATACAGTTTCATTCTTTGAGCAACTGTAGTATCTGTCTTGCCTATAAAAATATTTTTCATTTTAGTAATAACCTCAAAGATATATAGTAACCTCAAAAAACTCGAATGATACAAATTACTTCAATTAACTTACATTTTTTACGCAGCTCAGATTTTTCATATGTTTCATTATTTGCACTACAATTATTTGTGGGGGACGGGATAAAATATTCTTCCGATCATGACATTTTTCATTAACTCACGATTTATACTACTTAAAATTTAATGACATGAAACACCGAAAAATGAACAATATGCTTCACGCTTTCGGTGACGTACGCACGTATAAAGTCACACATACCAAGAAGCCTTGCACAAATACGACCAATCAGAATCGACCCGTATAGAAATCATATCATCGAGAGTGAATGACTCTCACTTGACCTTGCCGTAACAATTTCCGTTGCATTTGTACGGATTTACACCCATGTCGCGCCTAAAGAAGTTTTACTTTAAAATTGTATTTATGTTTCAGAATGCTACAATTCTTTCTCGATATCCTTCATGGACACAAAGACCTACAGTCCAAATTGGAAGCCTTTTTTGGACAGCAAATGGAACAAAATCAACCACAGAGTCGTCGGCCCTTGGATGTACCAGGATACGTTTCATTCATCATCTTTACCAATTTTAGGTAATATTTAGAACTTCAATATATATATATATATATATATATATATATATATATATATATATATATATATATATATGAAGCCTCTCATTACATTATCCTTTACCAGGTGATGATATCCTGTACCCAGCTGGTGGCTACATATCACCACTTGGACGTACTTTATCAAATTCTAGGACAATACTAAATTTTTTGGTGGAATCTTCTTGGTTGGACCAACAAACCAGGGTTGTGTTCATCGAGATGGCTTTCTATAATGTCAACCAGAATTTATTCAGTGTTGTCACACTTTTGGCAGAACGATTTGCTGTTGGAAGTTATTTGACCAGCTGGAAGGTAAAGAAATAATAGATAAAGTTTTAAATGTTCTCTCAAAAACTCGATTTGTATTTTCTGCACTCTTTGCTCTTTATCTCCGAAACGGTTGGACCTGCCTTTGCCAAAAACTAATCAGCACATCTCCCTATCAATAGGAATCGAATGGTAAATGAATCATTCTAATCAGTTGATTCGTGCGCCGGAAAACGTGGATGAAAAAATGCGGACATACAAAACACACACACATCCATTTTTTTGTGGTATGCCAAAATGTTCAGAAACCTTCAAAACGTCGAGAAATGCAAAAATTTTCAATTTCGATTTTTGGACGATTACAATAACTTACCCTACGGGAATTTAATAAAGAACCAATAAAGTGATATAATAAGTAACAATAAATGAATATAATGTGATGTTTACTGTTTATTTCATACTATTCCTACATTCTTTTACATTGAAGAATATTTTATAACTTTTTTCCTAACAATTAAATTCAATTTAAGAAACAATTTATATTTCATTGATTATTATTACATTTTCGACTATAAATTGTCATGTTTTCAAATAATTCAATTGAGTAAATTCCTTATTGAATGCTTCATATTTTCAAGGATGCTTTCTATGATAAATCAGCATATGTCTTTGCAGAAGACTCAATTGTGTGAATTTATTATTACAAATAATGCATTCATCGAGATGAATTCAATTGTGAATTTTCATGTGACGTTTGAGATTACCTAACACCGTGAATGTCTTATTACAAACATTGCATTCATTGCGGGGTACTGCATTGTGAATTTGCATGTGACATTTCAAACCACTCGATTCTGTGAAAGTCTTATTACAAACATCGCATTGATGGGGGCGTATTCCTTTATGAACCAGCATGTGTTTTTTCAGAGAACCTGATTGTGTGAAAGTCTTATTACATACATCACATTGATGGGGGCGTATTCCTTTGTGAATCAGCATGTGTTTTTCCAGATTACTTGATTGTGTGAATGTTTTATTACATACATCGCATTGATGGGGGCGTATTCCTTTGTGAATCAGCATGTGTTTATTCAATTACCTGATTGTGTGAATGTTTTATTGCATATACTACAAACGTAGGGGTTCTCACCAATGTGAATCAGCATGTGTTTTTTCAGATAATCTGATTGTATGAAAGTCTTATTACAAACATCGCATTGATGGGGTCGTATTCCTTTGTGAATGATCATGTGTTTATTCAGATGACTTGATTGTGTGAATGTCTTATTACATACATCACATTGATGGGGGCGTATTCCTTTGTGAATCAGCATGTGTTTATCCAGATTACCTGATTGTCTGAAAGTCTTGTTGCATATAAGGCATTTATGGGGGCGCTCACCAATGTGAATGAGCATGTGTCTTTTCAGAGAATCTGATTGTGTGAAAGTCTTATTACAAACATCGCATTGATGGGGTCGTATTCCTTTGTGAATCAGCATGTGAGTTTTCAGATAACCTTTATGTTTGATAGTCTTATGACAGATTTCGCATTTGAACGTTTCTTTGCTATTACTAGGCTTGTGATCGACCATATGCTCTTTTAATTGATCAGATTCTGCAATGATTGATTACAAATGTCACATTCATAAGCTGATGTCTCAACTAGCTCCTGTTTGACTTCTTCTTCGATAGTCACTTCAGAGTTCATGAATCTTTCTAAACAGGTTTCATCATCCGCAGAACACGATTCAGATTTAACAATATCATCAGAAACATCAATATCATCCTGAATTTCGTGTTTAATGTCTTCATAAGCTGATGTCTCAACTAGCTCCTGTTTGACTTCTTCTTCGATAGTCACTTCAGAGTTCATAAATCTTTCTAAACAGGTTTCATCATCCGCAGAACACGATTCAGATTTAACAATATCATCAGAAAACATCAATATCATCCTGAATTTCGTGTTTAATGTCTTCATAAGCTGATGTCTCAACTAGCTCCTGTTTGACTTCTTCTTCGATAGTCACTTCAGAGTTCATAAATCTTTCTAAACAGGTTTCATCATCCGCAGAACACGATTCAGATTTAACAATATCATCAGAAACATCAATATCATCCTGAATTTCGTGTTTAATGTCTTCTTCTGAATATTCGGGTGGTTCAATTTTAATTGCCGGATCATTCATTGACATAATTGTTTCTTCTGACATTTTTAAATATTTTAACTGCTTGTACTCACTTACGAAATAATTGAAATGATTCCAAAATAGGTGTGGGCTAAATAATAATGTAGTTTAATCAACAATCCATAACTGATTTCAACTTACAATTTAAATTTATTATTTGACATTTGGAGCATAGATAGATACTTACACAAAGATGAGACTCTTCTCACATCGCTTTCACATTTAACAATGGCGCGCATTTTCAAATTCATTATGTTTCTCTGTGTCTAAACTATTTTATTAAATAATATTAATTTTACAAACGTTTTGAGACTAGGTTTGTCTCATCATCGGTGTATTATAATTTAAAATTTTAAGACCATTTAAATAAAATTCTCAACAGCAGAAATACAGAATTAAATACGAAAAATATAATATAAACCAATAGAAAGTATACACAAATAAAATGTAATAAAAAATTAAATAATAAATAGAAAATCCCATAGATAGATACATAGATAAATAGATAATAAGATAACTTTACTAGAAAAATAACTAGTTAAATACATAGATAAATATATAACTAATTTGTTTATATGTGTATTTATCTACTTATTTAGTTATATATTATTCTATGTATTTAACTAGTTATTTTTCTAGTTAGTTATCTTATTATCTATATATCTATTTATGCAATTTTCTATTTATTTATTTAATTTTTTATTTATTACAATTTATTTATGTACACTTTCTATTGGTTTATATTTTTTGTATTTAAATATGTTTTTCTGCTGCTGGAAATTTTATTTGAATGGTCTTAAAATTTTAAATTTTACGTTTGTAAAATTAATATTATTTAATAAAATAGTTTAGACACAGAGAAACATAATGAATTTGAAAATGCGCGTCATTGTTAAATGTGAAAGCGATATGAGAAGAGTCTCATCTTTGTGTAAGTAAACTCTATGCTCCAAGTGTCAAATAATAAATTTAATTTGTAAGTTGAAATCAGTTATGGATTGTTGATTAAACTAGATTATCATTTAGCCCACACCTATTTTGGAATTATTTCAATTATTTCGTGAGTGAGTATAACCAGTTAAAATATTTAAAAATGTCAGAAGAAACAATTATGTCAATGAATGATCCGGCGATTAAACTTGAACCACCCGAATATTCAGAAGAAGACATTAAACACGAAATTCAGGATGATATTGATGTTTCTGATGATATTGTTAAATCTGAATCGTGTTCTGCGGATGATGAAACCTGTTTAGAAAGATTTATGAACTCTGAAGTGACAATCGAAGAAGAAGTCAAACAGGAGCTAGTTGAGACATCAGTTTATGAATGTGACATTTGTAATCAATCATTTGCAGAATCTGATCAATTAAAAGAGCATATGGTCGATCACAAGCCTATTAATAGCAAGGAACGCCGTTTCAAATGCGAAATCTGTCATAAGACTTTCAAACCAAAACGTTGTCTGAAAATTCACATGCTTTTGCACAGTGGAGAACGCCCCTATAAATGCATTATATGCAACAAAGCTTTCAGACAATCAGGTGATCTGAAAAAACACATGCTCATTCACATTGGTGAGCGCCCCCATAAATGCAGTATATGCAATAAAACATTCACACAATCAAGTAATCTGAAACAACACATGCTGATTCACAATGGAATACGACCCCATCAATGCGATGTTTGTAATAAGACTTTCACACAATTAGGTTCTCTGAGAACTCACATGCTGATCCACAAAGGAATACGACCCCATCAATGCAATGTTTGTAATAAGACATTCACACGATCAAGTCATCTGAATACACACATGATCATTCACATTGGTGAACGCCCCTTCGTTTGTAGTGTATGCAATAAAACATTCACACAATCAGGTAATCTGGATAAACACATGCTGATTCACAAAGGAATACGCCCCCATCAATGCGATGTTTGTAATAAAACATTCACACAATCAAGTAATCTGGAAAAACACATGCTGATTCACAAAGGAATACGCCCCCATCAATGCGATGTTTGTAATAAAACATTCACACAATCAAGTAATCTGGAAAAACACATGCTGATTCACAAAGGAATACGCCCCCATCAATGCGATGTTTGTAATAAGACTTTCAGACAATCAGGTGATCTGAAAAAACACATGCTGATTCACAAAGGAATACGCCCCCATCAATGCGATGTTTGTAATAAGACTTTCAGACAATCAGGTGATCTGAAAAAACACATGCTAATTCACAAAGGAATACGACCCCATCAATGCAATGTTTGTAATAAGACATTCACGGTGTTAGGTAATCTCAAACGTCACATGAAACTTCACAATTGAATTCATCTCAATGAATGCATTATTTGTAATAATAAATTCACACATTTGAGTCTTCTGCAAAGACACATGCTGATTTATCGCAGAAAGCATCCTTGAAAATGAAGTAGTCAATAAGGAATTTACTCAATTGAATTTTTTGAAAACATTGCAATTTAGAGTCGAAAATGTAATAATAATCAATGAAATATAAATTGTTTCTTAAATTAAATTCAATTATTAGGAAAAAAATTATAAAATATTCTTCCATGTAAAAGAATGTAGGAATAGTATGAAATAAACAGTAAACATCACATTATATTCATTTATTGTTACTTATTATATCACTTTTTTTAAATTTTAAAATCTGTCCAAACCTCCCAGACTAACTTCTTTATTTTGCAGTTACAAACATTATTTAGAAAATCGATACATGAAATTTACCGTTATACATGGATATCGTATAATTGCATTTGATGTAAAAGTACAATTCTATCGTCAGAATTTACAAAAATCAGAAAACTTTGTGCATTTTTATAATGGTCTTTGGAGAGACAATACCATATTGTATACATTGCAATGTATTTAATATAAGTGTTTAAGTAAATTTCTTATTTAAGTGTGTTAAGTTTAATATATTAAGTGTGTTATAGTGTGTTACATTTCTATTTCTCATATAATTATTAATAATAGAACAAACAATGTGTTATAAGTGGTGCTAAATAAATATGTGCAAGGATGTCCAGACATTTCAATGAAAGTACCGCATGTTCTAAGTAATTTTTAATTATCTCAAGATATTTCAAATAAGTCAATATGCTGTTAAATTTGTTTAAAATTGAATAATCTACAACAATGTCTAACATCAAACTCTATTGTCATACAAATATTCATAAATATCATAAAACAAATTCATTAAAATTATTACAAATACTGTAACTTTCATTATTTTTGCTATCTTGTTACATCTGAACAAATCAAATGTAAATTATAAATCTCCAGAATTTATTTCCAGAACATTAACAATCGCCATTTCATTTCGAATTCAATTCCAAAAAAATAGTTTAGTTGCCTTAATTTACACAAAATTGAAAAAAAATTCTGCTAGTATTGACAAAACAATTTGCTTTTGAAGATAAAAAAAAATTACATCTTTTTTTTTATTTTCCATAAAATATTTTTGTAATTTTGGATTCAAAAAAATCAAAAAATTACCCAGGCTAAGCACAGTCTAAGCACCACTCTGGTACAAATGTTTACCCAAGAGCGTTTAGACTGTTTATGTACTGGAGCACTTTTCCAATTTTGTGAAAACTATTGAAAAATTTGAAAATGCCGCCAAGCTAAGCACAGTACAAGTGAAAATGTCGCACAGAATTATTCGCAAATGCGTTTAGACTGTGACTATACGGGAGCGATTTTTCAATTTTGTGTAAATTAGGCAACTATTTTTTTTTTAAATTGAATTTTAAATGAAATGACGATTGTTAATGTTCTGGAGATAAATTGATTTATTTATAATTTACATTTGATTTGCTCAGATATAACAAGGTAGCAAAAATAATGAAAGTTACAGTATTTGTAATAATATACGTATTTGAAAACGTTTAAAATTTCTCGAATATGTTATTATGGTACGGCAAGTTCCAGCAATTTGCCTTAAGGCACGATGCCATACACCACTAGTTTTATTTTCAGATTGAAACAGTGAAGCTTCTGATCAACCAGGAACAAAAGAACACAACAGTAGTGATTTCTTTCATCTTGTTCCTAGCTTGTGCCTTAATTTTTGCAATAAAAACAATACTCCGAGTGAAACATTTGGGACTTCTGACTTATTTCAAAGAAGTTTGGAATATCGTGGACATCCTCATAATCCTCCTAACAATTTCTTGTATGATCGTGTTTTTTATGAGAAGTTCCTACGTGATATCATTAATCCAGGAGCTGGACGAAAAGGATAATAATGAATTTGTGGCATTTTTTATTGCGTCTAATTTGGAACAATGGATGAACTACTTGTGTGCAACCTTGGTAAGTAGAATTGATAAATATAAATATAAATTATAAATATAAAGGTATATTTATAAATATAAAATATATATATATATATATATATATAAATATATATATATATATATTATATATATATATATACAGGGCCGTTCCTGGGGTCCTTAGCGCTCGCATGCAACTTTTTTTCTAGCGCCCCTCTCTCTATTAATTTTTACCGTTTTAACAGTTTATCATTAAAATTATATAAATATTTACATATTTTTTATAAATTAATTTTTAATTATTCTGGTTTTGGTACACAAAAATGAGATATAATCTAGAAGGGTATAAAATATATTGATTTTAAATTTATTTATTATTATCGATATCAATAAGTAAAACAATCCCTGTCACAATTTCACATTTTAGTAATATTCAATATGTAGTAAATTGGTTAAGGATGTAAGTTCGACTACCATAGCAAAAGAATTAATATTTCTGTTAGATTAAAGTTATAGAATTTAAGAAATGCATTTCAGAAATAGTATTTATTATTTTGATATAAAGATCTTGATATCAAAATAATAAATAATATTTCTGAAATGCATTTTTTGAATTCTTTAACTTTAATTCAACAAAAATATTAAGTGAAATAAATAAATTAATTTTCAATTATTCTGGATTTAGTGCACAAAAAATTAGATATAATCTAAAAACGTATAAAATATATTGATTTTAAATTTATTTGGAAAATCGAGGCGATTCGGTGGTTGATTATAATCAAATATTTTAAAACTTTCAATTATTTTTAACGTATGTGCAATATTAATATTTAAAAAAACTAGCATTTTATTTTCAAACATAACACTCGTATTTCATGTTGGATTTTTTAAATTTTAATTTAATTAATTTTTCATCATTTACAATATCCAAAATTGCGTCGTAAACTTCTCCTTATTGATATCGTAAGAGCCGTCATATTCAGAATATCAGCTTGTTTTGAAGTTAAATTTTTAACGTATTTTAGAAGTATTGTTAAAAAATCAGTAAAAAATGCAAAGAAATTACACATTTCTTGAACAACATTGAAAAAAAAAAACTTATTATATTTGATATGTATTATTTCTGTATAGTTAATAATTATTAAATTTAGAGTATGGACACCACTTGGTATAAAACAAGCCTCAAGATTTTCGTTTCAAAGTAAATTTTGCTTCCATTTTTCATATTTGTTCCACGAATGTCTTCAACATTCAAAGTTCAACAGATGCGAAACATTCGCAACAAAAGCAAAAATTGCAATTCAATTTCTCGGAATAAACAAGTCATTTTCTAAGAACTGACTCCCCATTTTTATAATATGTTTATATTTTTTTACAAGTTGCAATTCAACTAAATCAGCTCGCAATTTTTCGTCAATAATGCCCAACAATTAATTTAATCTTTCGCAGGTTTGCGCTTATGGGATTGAATACTAGATTTTTTTTTCACGTTAACTTCAAATAAAGCAAAAATTGAATAAGTAGATTAATCAATAAACAGAGCTGTTATTTACCAATTTGCAGAGTTATTAGACGGTTAATTGTTTCTACTGATATCACATTGCAAAATAAATATGCTTTTTGTGTCTCCGTATCCCTATTTAAGTTAAATTATTTATTATAATTTATTAAGTATTCTAGATTTTAAATAAATAATTCTAGATTTTATATAAAAAAATATAAATATTATATTATAAATTTAATTTCCGAAACTCGTTTTGGCGCCCCCTAAGGCTTGCGCCCGCATTTTTTGCATGCATCGCATGCAAGGCAGGACCGGCCCTGTATATATATATAATATATATATATATATATATATATATATAATATATATATATATATATATTAGGTTGTAAAATATCTCCCTTCCGCTTTCTTGCTCTTGGTTTATGATACAAAAAGGCGGAAGGGAGATATTTGATAACCTTATATATATATATATATATATATATACTAGCTGACCCGGCAAACGCTGTTTTACCATCAAAAATATTTTTGCGCATTGCAGAAGTTCTTATAATATACATGATATATTAATAATGATGTTATATTCTTATTACACGAATTTCTTTACATTTTGATAATTAATTCGAACGCATCATAGTGCTTTGTTTATTTTAATTTTATTTATATCAAATAGTGAAATATTTTTAATCAATGAATAAATTAGATTTTAGTCTGAATCATCGCAGTACCGTTATCTAAATATATAATTTTTATATAAATATCAGATTTTTTACTTTTGCATTTAATTTAAAAATATTGAATGTCAATTTCATATATCCAATATGCACTAAATTTTTAAATGCCAAAATATTTTCTTTTTGGTTCGAAATTTAATATAATATGATATAATTTATATCTATAATTTGATTGCCAATATTGCCTATAACATAACTTGGAATAATTAATTTATTTGTATCTTATTGAAGTCGTTAAAAATTCATTTTTTTTGAACTGTCAGAATTTTGTTTATGATTAATGTTAAATTCAATATGTCGCTTTTTTATTGTGATCTATAATGTTTTAATCACTTATTATATAAATTTTCGACTATAAGTTGATATTCATACTATCCCTGAAACTAACATGGATAAAGTTCTGAGAAATCCGAATCCAAATCTATAAAATGTTTGATTTTTGGCACTTTTATTAATTTTTTATCAATTTTTGTACTGTAAAATAATGGATGATTATTTATCAAAATTGTAATATTTGGACTATAATTTTAGATGTATACTTTTTATTTTGGCATTGATTGCAACATGTGTCTTTTACCAGGTGTGTGTGGCAACTGTACGTTTATGGAAAATCCTGAGATTCGCCAGTGTTTTTCGTACAATGGAACAAACCTTGATACAATCCTCAAAATCCTTAATATCCTTAACACTGATTCTCACGATCCTCATCCTGGCTTTCACCTACGTCCTGCATATTATAAATGGACCATTTGCCTACGATTTTCGGTCCAGGGGTGCATCATTTGCCACATTGATGGCTTTGACTTTAGGGTTCCAAAGTCAAGATTTTGAGACCACTGAAAATTTTATGAACGGTGGATTTTTTATTGGACTTGTACTGTATTTTATTTTTGTAACGGTCATGACATTCGGTTTGCTCAGCATTTTTATTTCTGTGATCTGTGTGCATTTG